ATTTCTACTCCTGAAATAATATTCCAAGAAAATTATTTTTTCTAATTTCTGTCTGAAAATTGTGCTGCGGCCTATACACGCACGCGGCCTATACATGCGTAAATACGGTATTAATGTAAGTTATTATTATGGACTATTGTTTCATATAGTGGGTATATATTCTATGAATTAAAACATTTTCCAGTAAAATTTGAGGTTCTCGCAGTAGTGGTTATGAAGTGTTCTATCTCTGGAATATTACACCATGTAGTCTGTTGAAAGTCAACTTACTTTCTGCCTACTTATGTCGTTTATTCTTTTAACCAGAAGATGGAAGTGACGTGTTCTTATGAAATGTCAGTTGACTTTCAACGGACTACATGGTGTTATATCCCAAGAGATTGAACTCATGTTCCAGAAGAGTTTTACTTGCTACATTCCTCATGTAATCCTGAACCTGAAAATCCATCCATGAACTATTTCCACAATTGCTGCATGTTTTCCATCAGAGTGCCTGAATATTCTTCATATGTCAAGACTAAATTGTACTTTAATTTGAATAATTTGTTCAGCTGCATTACTTTCTATACTTCAAATATTTGATATTTACGTATTTATTTGAAACAGTATGTGGTAGTAAGTCAGGAACTGTTAACCTTAATGCACATGTTAGATTATATGTGGACTGACATATTTAAGTTTCAGCACAAGAGGTTTGATGTTAATTAAGCACATAGAAATTGTTGCTGATATTTCAACTTCGTTGTAACAAAGCAAGGTGCAAGTAAAGTAAGTAAAAAAAAGTAAAGCTATCCCTGTAACAGGCCATGAAGACCCATAGGGTTGTGAGACATTGAGGGTCCTACATTATCTAGACAATCTGCTAAAGATGGCAGTAAGGTTGTCAGCCTTATGCGGCAGCCGCTCTTTACTCCCCAGGAAAATTATTTAATTAATTCCTGGTACCCATTTCTGTTAGAGGCTGAGTCAACCCCAGGGCCATAGTGTGGCTGGAGGGATTAGTCATCATCATCATCATCATCATCACTGGCACGACAGCCGTTTGTGAGCCCTGGCCTTCCTCAGGATTGCTCGCCATTCTTCTCCATTCGATGCTACATTCCTCCAGTTCTTTACACCCAAAATTCTTATGTCCTGCCACACACATTCTTCCCATCTTAATCTTGGTCTTCCCACTCTCCTATTTCCTTCTGGTTTAGTATTAATCATTTTCTTAATCATTCTATTCTCGCTGGCACGTATTATGTGTCCAGCCCATTCAAGCCTTTTCACCTTTATAAATCCAATAATGTCTGGTTCATTAAATAGTTTGTATAGCTCCTCCATATTCCATTTTCTTCCACTGGTCCAAAGATATATCTCAAGATCCTCCCTTCAAATATACTTAACAGTGTTTCATCCGATCTTGGCAGTGGCCAGGTCTCAGAGGCATAAGATAGCACTGATCTTATAAGTACTTT